CCCAGAGATCACTGGTGATCTGTGAGCCACACTTAATGAAGTTCAGCTGCTTTGAGAAAAAAATATAAAACTGTGCAAATAATTAAAACCACTTATCCAGGCTGGTACAGCCCCTGGAATCAGAAAGGGAAAATGTCCCAGTGCTGTGTGATAGGATGTTCTCTGAAGATTTTCCAATGGGTTCAAAGAGCCCAAACACTGCTGATGTAGTACTTAAATGTGCTCACAACATGGCTTCACACGGAAAAACAAAATTTGCTTGGCTAAATATTTGTTTTCTTTTCTAATGAGGCTTCCAGATATGACTTGATGGTTCCCCCCTAAAAATCTACCCTTACATATTTTACCAGGGACAAATAATTTAACCTTACTCAGTCAAAACTCTTAGTGAAGATTTACATGACTAAAAGAAGCCATATCAATTTATGGTAGTTTTTTTGCAAGTGTGCTTTCCCCAGCATATAACTGCTTCCTTCTGCTCCATGCTGCAGCCAAAACCCTGTTCCTTGCAGCTGCTTATAGTGCTGAGAATTGGGAAACCAGCTTTGGAAGAAGCATGAGGAGAGGAAACTCCCCTAAACTGCTCTGGCTGCAGAACATTTTGTATTAAACCAGGGACTGAAGGAACACAGGGACCTGTCTTTGATCCATGGAACATCAGGACGCCTTAGAACAATAGTAGTGACTTTGTTAACCTTTCTTCTATAAACTATTACAAATTAACTAGATAATAGGCAGTGTAAAAAAACAAGTTGGTTATGTACTGTTATAAGGTCATGCAAAAGGATTAACTCCTGTAGGAATTATTGGATTCTAGTGAAAAAATAACGAATATGTGTCAGTAATGACACTGTCTTAGTCCTCTGTCCTGGTGTGGTTACTAGGTAGGGCAGCGACGTCTGTGAAGAGTGGGGTTGATGAGATCTCTCAGGGATATTATTTTGTCCATTAGGCTGCTGTTACTTGGATAGTTTTGGTGGCTAAACCCCAGGATTTTTATTTTTCCTTGATATCAGTGCTGACCTAGTTCTGCAGCGAGTAACTGCACAGCCATCTGTATCCCAGCTGATGCCAAGGCATGAAAATATCCCTGCAAGGGACAGCCCTGGGCTGAAGGGAGGTTTAGGGGCAGCACTTGCTATTTGTGTTACTTCCCCCTTGGGCTGCACTTCCACACCTGGGACAAAAGGCTGGGAAGGCAGAAGTGCTGGGACAGCCCTGCAGGGCTCAGGGGTTTGGCCAGCCCTGCCCACAACTCCTCACTGGGGTTACTTCATCCTGCCTTGTGGCCTTCAGCCAGCAGGGCTTCGGTGGTTTGGGGACTCTTTGAAGAAGTCAGTCACGCCATGAGAAATTATTCTGATGTTGAGGCTCTCTGCTGTCCCTGCTGCCTGTACATATTTCTGTGCTGTGGCACTGTCCACGGGCAGTAGAGGGGCAGTGGCAGAACGTGGGGTGCCAGTGAAGGGAAGCAGGCAGCAGCCCTGCTTGTGCTGAGCACTGATGGCTGCAGGTTTTATCCAGAATTGTAAATTCCTGCTTTCAGGAGCTGCACATCAGTGCAGGACACATCCCAGCACAGTGCAGATTAGGTAGCAAACCTGTAAAGTAGCATTAAGATGCAAACTTTGGCCTATAATCCTAATTATTGCTTTTCTACTCTCAAGCAGTTTTGTGCAGTGACCATGGCAGTGCTCAGAAATGAAAGTTGTGCTGATGGCAACCCCTGAAATGGTTATCAGGGGTGTCATGAGGTTTTATGGATCTCTGAAAGCACCAGCTGTAAAAATTCAAGGTTTTCCTGAAAGTCTGAGCTTTCAGTTAAGAAATCCACCAGTATATCAATATCTTGGGGTGTGAAGAAAAGTTTGAAATAGACTCAAAAAGTTTAGGTACCAAAGGATAAGGAAAATAAACGTCAGCTCTGTTGCTTTTATAAAATCCCTTGTTTATTTTAAACTCTTGTCCCTGTTCATTATGGTTACCGTAAGTTTGTCAATTGCAAACCTAAGCAAACTGTGATTTATAAATATCCTGAGAATACTTTGATTATTTCCTAGTGGTGATGAATGGATGGTGGAGCACTTGTGGCTGGTGCAGGGCTGAGGTTTTTGCCTTGTTTCTGTCATGTTCTCTAACACTAATGTGTTCCAGTGTTTTTAATTGCCAAGAGCAGCTGTAAATCCTCCCTTTGGGGATGTTCCCATCACATCTCATTCAGTCATTATTAGTCATTAAACATCTTACCCTGTGATTGAATCCAAGGATAGAGCAAAGGGCAATTATTCAGGCCAGATCTACAATATTTCCTGTGAAGGCAGTGGGAAGGTTTAATTGCTAATACTTGTGACACGTGGATTTACTGTGGCAGCTGGGGCCCTAGAGGAGCTCCCACCTGCTCCCTGTTAGCTCTGCTCGGTGTTCCACGTGTGAGGGTCACTGCTGAGCCCTCCTGGAATCCAGCCCTGGAACCATTTGCCACTGTGAGACACACCCCACCAGAGCTGCAGACCAGATTACACATTTAATAACTTCTTTACAAGGCAACTGGTTTATAAGTGAGGAGGAGCATTTGGAACATGTGATTTATAGTTGGGAATATTTTATAATTGCTGAATGCTATTATCACACTCACAGTGCTGTGCATTAGTGTGAGTTACTGGTGAAATTTCCCCTGGTTTAGAGCTCAGGTTGGGTGACACTGTGGTGACAGGGCTGTTTTCCCAAGGCTTTGCAGTTTTGCAGAGTTTCAGGTGATCTGCTGACACTCTGCACCTTGCAGAGTCTTTCAGCACCCTCAGGTTATGCAGGGATTGTTTGTTTTCAAGAGTCCCACAGGTTTTAATGGATTTATCCTGACAGCAGTGTGGTAAGAAGAGTGTTGTTCATCCCCAATTAACATACAAGAGACACTTCATTGAAGGACCCTTGAACTCGATGTCTGCATATTTGTCTCACAGAGACAGAAGTCGGGCACTGTGCTGTGCCTGGAAAAGTCTGGGCTCTTCTGATGTGTTGAAATGTCTCTAAAAAAATCTCCTTATCCATATAAGGGCTAAACCTTTCAAGGATGTGTGACGAATCCCAGAGCCAAACCAAACTCCCCAGAGTGAGTAACTGCTGCAGGGTCCAGCTGCTGGAGTCCTGGGAGAGGCAGGAGCTGCTGAATTAACTCTCTCAGGTGCAGGGTGGAATGATGGCTTTGACTTCCTCCATTTTCTCATGTGGCATGCTGGAACCTGGATTATTCCTGTAGGACTGAGGCCAGGCTTGTCTGCAGCACTGTCCCAAACCTGTCCTCCTTCTCTGAAAGACCTGCACAAGTGTTTCACGGGCAAAAGGAATGTACAAAAGCTCCTGTGCAGAGGAGGCACCAATGGAGTTGGCAGCTCTGTCCCCAGACCAGAGTTCTGCTCATCACTTGGCAGGAGAGTTGCTCAGGTTTGCCTTTTTCCCCCAGTGCAGGATTTTTTTTTTCTTCTCATTTCTCAGACTGCTGGAAATGTCCCCTTACCTCCTACTGCAGAGCACTTGATCAGATACCAAGTCCCTGCCGTGTGAAAATATGATTAAATGCAATGACTAAACACCGAGTTAGTTACTGAGTAACTTCTCAGGAGCCCTTCTCCATACTTGGGGAGTTACTGAAGACATGTGCTGGTGAAAAAAAACTGACCTGTATACAAATAGGGCTTGTATACAAAGCCCTATTTGTATACAGGGCTTTGAAGGGGAGCCTGGGTGGTTGCTCACAACAAAACCTGAAATATTAATTAAATTAATAATCAATGAATAGCATTCCGAGGCTCTTCATGCTCAGGAGAAGTGGATTGAGACTACCCACAAAAGGATCCCTGTCCTGCCCTGCTGCTCTGCAGCAAAGCCATTCCATCACTCTGTGATAGCACAGCCGTGCTGGAGAGCAGGACCAGGCACAACAAAAAGGCTCTGCCTGTGGCCCACTGGAGACCTCTTTTGTCCTTCTCAACATGTAAAACAACACAGCCACAGGTCAGAAGATTATTTTTGTGGGAAATGAGGAAGGAATGCCCAGTGCTCCCTGGAGAGACAGTTCATAACAAATCATAGAGCTCTGGCCTGCATGGCATTAACCAGCTTAGTTTGAGGGGAAAAAATAGTGCCACAAAATCAGCTTATTTTTTAAGCCCAACTGGAAACTAGTGGGAATTAATTTCACTGAATAAGGCCATTATAAATTATATCAGGCTTCATGACATATATTTGGAGGCAGAAAGAACTTATTGCAGAAGCTTGAGTTGATTCAGTCACACAGCATACATGAAAGCCTTCTGTGTGCTTTCTGTGCACTTTTATGAACAAAATATTTAGAAATAATTAAAAAGCCACACAAAACAAAGACTGTGGCATATAAAACAGAGCTTCAGTTGTTGCCTTGAGCTGCTTTAACTTTTACTGTACAAGCCTTTTTCTCTCTCCCTAAGAAAACAGGACATAATCTTTTAAGAAAATCGAATCTAACTCCTTTGTTGGATTAAAGCTAACTACTTTCAGTTAGATTTAATTAGTTTTTGTCTAGCAGTGCTTCTCAGGTGCCCCAGAGCAAGGGCTGGGGACGGCAGGGGATGCTCCTGGAGCGGGACATCCTGGTGGGATGCACAGGAGCGCTTTGGGTCGCGGGGCAGAGGCCTCACCTGCCCTCTCCCCGTGGCCTTGGCAGCGTGTTTATGGAATTTTTCAGCGGTGCCCACACGTGGGAGCGGTGGCGGCCAGCCAGGAGCTCCGGCAGCAACAGCGCGCTGGTTAATGATTGACTGGAGATAATGCGAGAGCCCAGCCCACTGCAGCTCGTCTCCTTGTGCTGGTGCTCTGCTCCACACCCGGCAGAGCCGGCCCGGCTGTCCCCTGGGCCCGGCACATCCCGGCTGTGCCCCGGGCCCGGCACATCCCGGCTGTCCCCCGGGCCCGGCCCGGCACATCCCGGCTGTACCCCGGGCCCGGCCCGGCACATCCCGGCTGTCCCCCGGGCCCGGCACATCCCGGCTGTCCCCTGGGCCCGGCCCGGCCCGGCGCTGCGGGGACGGGGGACACGGGCATGGCCTCTGGGCCTGCGAGTGCTGCGGGACCTCCTCGGCTGATCGCACAAGTTCTGCTCACTGGCTGCGAGATCTCCTCAGCTGGAATGTGGCACAGAGCGCTGCTGCTCTTTGTACAGAGAATACTGGAGGCAGGGAATGTGCACGGGCTGTACTCACTGGGAGCACTCCTTCAGACTGCCGGAGCTCACAGGTAACCGGTGTGTGCAAGGTGTCCTGCCATGGCAGCGAGGGGCGAGCTGCGTGAGCTTCACGGTACCTTCTAACCCAAAGCACTCTGCAGTTCTGTGATTCTAACAAAACCAAACAACACCTCAGAGTGTCTCTGTGTGTGTGTGTGTGTGTGTATTTTAAATGCCTGTACTTGGTACATATTGTCTGCAGCACTTGCTGTGCTGTCTGTTTGTATATTTGCTTTGTGCAAGAAAAGAATGAAAAGAACATTCTGCTTACTCTGTTGTTTGTGTTGTGTTTGCTGCAAGTCTGGAGAACATGATTCTGCTGATCCATGCTCTTAACTGCTCCTCAGCCTGTGGATAAGTGCCTGTGTTTGGGGAGGGATTCAGTGAGATCCCAGCTGCAGACCTTTGAGTGCGTGGTGGATGAGCTCACTTCTCTGGGCTGTCAAGCAGATTTTCCCTTACCTCAGCAGGGTCCCTTGAGCAGCTGGGGCACACCACACATGTCGCTGGCCTCAGAGGGTTTGTGCAGTGTGTGAGGTGGGTGGGTTTGGGTGCTGGAGGCACAGCCAGGTGCCAGGTGCATGTGCCCTGTGGCCCTGTGCCCATGGCATCGTGCAGCCCCTCACAGGCGCTTTGGGAGGCTCAGCACAGAGGAGGTGCCATCGGTGCCATCCCAGCTGGGCAGCGAGGGGCAGGCAGGGCCGGTGGTCCTGCTGGGGAGGGATGACCGAAACGTGGTGCATCAGCCCATCCAGGGCCTGGCACAAGCTGCTGGATGGTGCTGGGAGAAGAAATGGACAAACAGGAGTGCAGCTGCTGCGTTTTCCATCAATCCTTTCTCCCCTACCAGGGCTGACTCAGCTCTCAGGTGCATCTGCTGCCAAAGTCCATGTGCTCCCATCTGAGGCGCCCTCTGTAAGAGCCAGCCTGGAAACAGAGGAAGGGGCAGGATGTGTGTTGGAAAATATTAAAAACACATTTTGAAATGTTTAACTTGGGGCTGGAAGCTGTGTCAGGCACACATGGTTGCGCCAGGCCACCTGAACTTCAGGGCTTGTCCTCACGATCTCTGACTGTGAAAGATGGAGTTTTCATAGGGAAATGTGGGAATGTAACCAAATAATTGAGGACAGAATTGAATTTGTAACAGAAATATTATCTTTAAAATCCTAAAATTATGAGTGTGTTGTATTGTGTAAGGGACCAGTCATATCCCTGCTATGGTGGACGTGGACAGTCTAGAGTGTCACCTGAGTCTAATGCAGTCACAGGAGCTCTGCTCTATCCCTGAGTGTACAAATTATGTGGGTTTTTTTAGAATAAATAAAATCTAGGTCTGTGGTAAATGGTTCAGTTAAAGGGTCTGGCAGGTATATATATTTTTTTATGCAGAAAATAGCTACTTTGGCACAAAATGTACTTAACGATTCTCCAGTGCAGGCAACGTTTGAGGCTAATGGTGATTTGGGAACTCAGAGGGGAATTTCTCTAGAATGGGTTAAATATAGAAAGGTGGATCTGCAAAAACTCACACCCTTCTATTTGGATGGGGACTAGCTGGTATGAAGTGCTCCAGACAGGAAATCTCTTGGTCCCTTGCTTGTACGTACCCAGTAGAGCCTCTCACTGAAACTGCCACTGCTCTCTGAATTACTCACCTGCTACCAGAGGTGAACCTGTCCTGCAGTCACCTGCTTAGGGAAGGGCTCTCACAAAAGCTCTGAGTGCTGCCTTTTCCCAGGACTTAATTAATTTGTGCTCCCCCAGCTTTTTTCCTCTGCCATCTCCTGCCAGTCTTGCAGCATGTGTGGAGGGATGCTGAAGGAGGCTGGGTTTAGTTTAGATACTGAGAGGAAATTGTTCCTTGTGAGGGTGCTGAGGCCCTGGCACAGCTGTAGCTGTAGCTGCTCCATCCCTGGAAGTGTCCAAGACCAGGTGGGATGGGGCTTGGAGCAGCCTGGGACAGTGGAAGGTGTCCCTGCCATGGCAGGGGGTGGGATTGGGTGATTCTTAAGGACCCTTCCAACCCAAACCACTCTGTGGTTCTGTGATGCTCTTTGTGGACCAAGGGTTTGGTTTCTTCCCCCAATTCTGAGCAGCCCCTTCCCCACCATTAACACTGCTCTAATGTAACTCTCGTGTATTTCCAGATTATTTTCAACTACTAATCCAGGTTTTCATTTTTTGTTGTGGAGACCAGAGATATGTTTAGTGAGGTTAAGCATAAACACTTTTGAATTCTGCTCAAACAAAAGCTATGGGAAAATACCGGAATGAAATATTTGCCAAAGGAACAGAGCAGTCCAATATATTATTTCTTGTGTATATTTGGTGGTTTCCTCTTGTTCCAGTGGAATGTTCTGTAGTAGCTGGATATTGCATTACTGTCTGCTCCAGCCCAAAGGCAGGCGTAATTATATTTAACATCTGTGTGAATTAGGCTGAAAACAGACATCCTCTGGAAAGGAAAAGTTTCTGTCTCCTATGTCAAAATAAGCAAGAGCTAATGGCTTTTTAAAAATACCACATTAATTGCTATTACTTCATAATCCTTGATTTATAAATGGAAGTGCTAATATTGATTGCCAGTTATATTTTAGACAGCTGCTATGAAAGACTGGAAACATTACATGATTTCCTGAGGGTAGTAAGGTATTAAAAAAATTAATTTGCAGTTAGGAGGAATGCTGAGAAGGCGAGAGGCCTGGGTTCTGCTCCTGTTGTGGGACTCAAATGATTTCATGGTAAGGCAGAGTCCTACTGGTGTGGCAGAATATAATTGAAGTTTGTGAGATACACTCTGAGGTCCAGGGAGATTGTTTTGTTAGGTGGAGCTCCACTTCCACATCTGTGCTTGCTTTCTCTCTGTTTCTCTCATGTCCTCAGTCTCCTCCTCACTTGTGTTCAGTGTTGGGAAGTTTTCCAGGTACCACAAGCTGATTCCTGTGCTCTCCTGTTCTCAGGGATAATCTAGGTGAGCCAGCTTGACCATGTCCCCCTTTCCCATATTTTACCTGTCAGTATTCCCTAGATGGAAATGACTTTGAGAATGTAGTGGAGAGATGTATTTCTTTCTATATCTTCATGAAGTTCATAGCACACAGTCCAAAGCTTGCAAAGTTCACCAAAAAGCTTCTTTGTATATTAAGGGACCAGAGAATGAACTTTTTGATCCATCTGAAGCCATAATTTAAATTACATAAACAGATATATTTATATGGATAAAGAATATATATCTATAATCTCACTTCATTGAGGTGAACTGGACACTGCTGCTTCCCCAGTCAGTGCCTCTGGATCCATCCTTGCCTAAAACTGGAGCTGCAGCAGGAATGTTTGTTCTCACTGCAGGTTTGTCTGTGGAAAACATAACCACAGCGTGTAGAAATTGGAATCTGCAGTGTTGTTCTGGCAAGGACTCTTGGACTGCAACTACAGAGCCATCCATAAAGCTTCTGAGAATAGTTTTACATTAGAATAAAGCTTATGTAGGAGCCAGAAAACCACAATTCTTCAAAGATAAGATGTCTTCAGGACATTTCCCAGCCGGCCAATCCTCACTAGTAAGTTTGAGTGAGCGTCAGCTCTACCAGAGCTCTGATAAAGTTGGAAAAGGCAGATTCTGATCCAGGCAGTGCTGGGAATACATTGGGTTTGGGATGTGTGGGAGCTGGTGAAGCTGCCTGTAATAAGCACTTGGGTTTTTCTAATTACAGGCAATTAATAATGAACATGTTTTTAAAACTGTGCTTGCATAGATTGTTAACCCACTACTAACTCACACAATTCTGGACTAAAGCCATGTCAGTGGAAGGGGATGTTGAACTGGATTACCCCTAGTTAAAGGCCAGTTTCTTCTCTTGTGAGCTTGACTTGCTGCCTAAGCTGTGGGAAGCTCAGTGCAGCCAGGAGCAGGTCAGGGGGACTGTGAGAATTTTATTTTTCCCTAATGTTTCTTGGATTGCCTTGCTGGGAAGCAGTCAACATGATAAAAACGAGAACAAATCTTTATTATAGATATTAATTAAATTATATTCTATTAATTAGTTAATTTAATAATATATATAGTAATTCTAAAGACATATGTTTAAGAATCAACAGTGTCATTAGTTTTTTTTTCTTTTTGATTTTTAGTACTTATTGTTGTTATTGTTACTTTCATCCTTCTCTAAATGTCTCATGACCCTTTGATAGCTCCAGAAAGCTCAAGTGTGTATCCATGGGTTTTACTGGAAATGTTTACATTCCTCAAACTGTGGTGAAATTTATTTCTGTGCACACAAGGCATAAACCTGCTCTAAATCCCAGCTAGGCTCTGTTTTGGGACTGTGTGACACTTTGACTTCCCAGTAGCTGGGTGAGCCTTCCACTGGGCCTGGAAGCCAAATGTGAGATTTTGTCCTTGGATGTTGATGTACAATGTCCTTGGTGACCATTACCTACCTGCACAATAGTTCTGGAAATTGCACTAAATGAGAAAAACAGGTATTAGAGTCTTCAGAGATCTTAGCAAAATAATACAGATTAGCAGAAAGTGTGTTTTTTCAGTCAACCAAAAGCAATATCATCTGCTATGTTTGCCTTACTGTTAGAAACCTAAAGCTGAAAGCCCAAGGGGATAAAATTTTTGATTATAGGCTAGAAACAAATAATAACAAAGGGAAAATGTCTGTCAAAAAGAAAAGGCAGAGAAAGAGAGAAATAGTGACTTTCAGAGATGCTGCGCACAAAGGCAGTGCACTTTCCTGAATGTAGTATCCTTCCATTTCTCTCACCCTTTCAGCAGTCATGTCAAAGTGATGGAATTTGAAGACTTCAGACATTTGTCTGGAATTTCTGGATATTTCAGAGTCTGGTGAAAGAAGCAGCTCTTTTTTCCAGACATCTCATACCTCAGAGAATGCATCCATGTTGTGCAGGCGCATGGGTTCTGCCCAGGAAAACCTGGATGGAGACCTGGGAACTTGTGCTGGATCACCAGCTAGTGACCTCCTGAAGGTTTCTGGGGTGCCAGGTTCTGCAGCTGGCTTCCCCAGGATTCTGCAGCTGACTTCCCCAGGATTCTGCACCTGACTTCCCCAGGATTCTGCAGCTGACTTCACCAGGATTCTGGCCTCTCTAGGCTGCCCTGGGAAAGCCAGGAGGATCACCTGCTAAAGCAAGAGTCTCTCAGGTGATCTTTTGGTAGCAACGAGATCTCGGGGTCTGGGGAGCAGATGGGTCAGGTGCTGCAGCCTGTGCAACAGACTGGAATCTGAAGAATTTCAGTTAATATTTGCATCCAGTGTTTACTCTTTGATAAGGAACAGGTCATTCACTAATGTGGACATGACATAATACTGGGAGGTTGTCAAGGTCTTTGCTCTGTGGTTTGCACACTTGTTCTCTTCTGGAGAGCACTTGTGTACTGTAGTTTGATCCAGATCAACAGCTGTGGGTTTCCCCTTTATTTTCATGGAGCCATTTGTATAAAAACACAACAAGAGAGCTAGGAAGGTTTGAACTCTGCTTGTGTTTATTAAGGGAAATTCTCATTCTTGCTTCTGTGATGGAAAGATTGTGTTGATCATTTCAAGGGGACTCCACAAGTGCAGGAATTATTGCAGACTGTGTTGAGTGCCAGGGGCTGTTTTTCCTGGGCTGTTGAGGGCAAATCAGAGACTTGAAAGAGAGAATACCTGTGTGTCTGATGGGAGTTGATTTGTTTGGGCAAGCATTGTATATAAGTGCTGGTGAGTTACAGATCAATTATGGCACCTGGCAAACTCTAAATGAGGTCAAACAAGACCAAACTGTAATTATAATAAATCTTTCCCTTATAAGACAGGTAAGTTGTTCACTGACTGTGGTCTGGAGTTACTAGGTTTTCTCTGTACAGAGTTAATTTGCCGGACATGAGGCTTTGACATACTGAGTTGGTTGCAAAGAATTCAAGATTGTGCAATGCAAATCACCTTTCCCTAGAACAGAACAGGTTGATGTGGATGGAAGTTAAGTTAGCCTCTATTTTTAACAACAAAAAACAAACAACTTTGGAATTTAATAGGTTGATAGTGGCTTTATTTCTTCCTTGGGCATGGAGTGGGTATACTTTCCTGCATTCTTACACTGTTACTACACTTTCCTTCATCTTTCAGTGGCTTGGGTTCTGATATACTATAATTTAATTTAATTTTTCTTCTTGCTTTCGGTGGTTTGCTATGCAGGTATTGGAAGCGGGTCTGGAATGGCACATGGTATTCCAGCCTTGCCAGAATGTATCTGAGACCCAGAGACAGCACCGGCCATGAGGGAGCTCTGCCACCTCCCCAGGACAGCAATAATGTCATTGTTCGTGTCAGTTGACTTTTAAGGACATTCATGATTTTCTCTTACATGGGAAAGAGAGAGCAGTTTCCACATAGTACTTTGAACACATTGAGGTAAATGATTCTGCTGCCAGGGTTTAGGAATTATCCTCTTCAAAAGAAGTAAGACAGGTTTTCCTAAGGTGTGTTTCAGTATCAGTCAAGTCTTCTTACCTCAGTCTTCTAAAATACTTAAATTATATTTCCTGTTACTTCTGGTATCATCATAAAAACCTGAGTCAAAAATTCTTCTCTGTATTGCCAACTTCACTGTAAATCCCAATGAGCAGCTTGAAACAATGGGGAAAAGAGATCCTGGGAATGTCTGGTATAGGAAACCAGGAGAGTACTGCCACTGCTAAGACATGAACTAAATCACAACAGTTACTTGGATTCTGCACATTGCTGAGAAAAGTTAGAGCCAAATTCTCATTGTAAATCAGGGTGGCTCCATGAACTTCCATGGAACTGTGCCAGCACATCCCAGACAAAGACTTGGCTCCATCTATTTACAGCACCATCAGCAAGAGCTGCTTGGAGAGGTTCCACTGGGAGAAAAATTTAATTAAAACAAGGGAGATAAGAATGACAGAGCAGTCTGTATTCTGGATCTCCTGTGGAATGTGGCTCCTGTGGGGTTTGATCCTGTGCACCCTCAGCACCTCCGGGTACCTCTGAGCTCTCCCAGTGGTCACTGCCACGGGCAGACCTCCAAAGCACTCCTGGGAATTGTCACTGCACTGGGATACACTGTGGTCCCCTCCCAGTCTGCACATCGTGGCATTGCAATCATTCAAGGCTCTTTTCCCTCAGTGGTTTCAGAAAATCCAAGGTTTTCCTTTCACCAAGTATCTAAAGTTTTTATTTCTTTAAATTCCTCAATGCACCATGGTGAAAAGGATGGGGAATGGCATCACCAGCCACTGAAGCTTCCCATTTCCATTGTGATCCTGTCAATCAGGGACAGACAATTCAATTTCACAGCTGTGTTTTAAATAATCTGTAAAGAGGGAGAGAACTCCAGACATCCTTGAGTTGGTTTCTTACTAAAATGTTAAAAAACAAGACAAACACCCATGGGAAAAAAAGAAAAAAAAAAAGAAAAAAAGGCAGGCAAATTACCACTTTGTGGTTAGGCTGTTTTCATTTCCCAGAAACTAGTTAATTTATTTAGTGTGCCCCACCAGTCCAAGTTTCATTTATAGATTAACTTGTGTATTTTGGCTCCTATCCATCTCTTCCCTTGGCTCAAAATGAATGATACCAGGGCTGTCTTTGAAACAAGGCAGGAATGTGATGATTTTTTTTTTTTTTTAAATTAAAGAGAAACATCACCCTGGAACCTCTCTTTTTGCCAGCGTTTTGGGGTCCCACCACAGAAATGTGATATTGGGAATGGCAGATTAGTGTCTGGTGAGGTCAACATTTATGAACAAATCAGACATGTAACATTCTGGAGGGATCTGGATACAGTTTGTGTCTCCTCAGAAGGCCTTTTACTGAAGCAACTTGTTGATGACGCTTTTCAAGATTGTTTGTTTGCTTTCTTTTAATAACTAATCAGTTTCTAGAGCTGGTTTAAATGAGAATTACTAAACAAGGCTGCTGGATAGCACCACTCTGGTGCCAGGTTCAGTCTTTTATTTGGGGCTCCTACTGCCTGGGAGCAGGTCAGGGGGTTTGAAGCCTGCAGAGCTCTCTGAGAGGGTCAGGCTGTTGGTGTGAGAATCTCCTGTTGCTTGTGGAGATCCATGTGTTAAACTAAACCTATGGGCATCGTGCACAGCAATCAGAGAGCAACTGGCAAGTGCTGCTGATAAACACAGGCTGTTTTCCAGACTCTGCAAAAACTGTGTATTTGTCATACGTGAACTCTATACTGGTGCTTTTTCCTAGTGCATCTGGGGGTTTGCAGGGAACCTGAGCTGCAGTCATAAACATTTGGCTGTCTTTTAAAATATGTGACTTGTGAGTGACAGCAGAATGTCCCACCAAAACGCTCTGTCAAGTTTCAGACACACTTTTCTAGGACTCTGGGAAAGGTTTTCCAAGATGTGCCAGGAGAATCCTCCCACCGAGTCTTTTTTCACACATTTCTCTTTCTTTTTAGGATCCTCTAGATAGAATTGGAATGTAACTGTAGAGAAAAATGTTCATTTCTGACAACTTAGTTGTGGACTTTTAATCAGATTTGGATTTCTGGAAGTACTACACCATGACTTCAGCTGGGAATGAGATAGAAAGATGGACTCACAGGCAAGGTGGCAGAACTGGGAAGCTGCTAGAGCCTGTGGCCTCTCCTGAAAATGATCATCTTTTGTCAGTGAAGTCAATCAGCAGCACGGACCTCCCTGGAAGGGCAGACTCTGCTTACAGCTCTTTCTCAGGAGGATCAAACGTTCCAGAGTACCCCACACCATCGTGCCACGGTGAATCCTCCTGTGTGCCTCCAGAGCAGGGCCCGTACATGGACTCCGAGTATGTGACAGGAATTTATCATCTCAGCGCTGCACACTCTGCCCTCAGACCCCCGCAGCCGAACACAGCACCAGGCCTGAGCACCCACAACAGCTCCCAGAGCTGCTGTGGAGGAAGTGCTCCTTCCCAAAGGACTCCAAATCAGGGTCCCCCAGCCCTGGCAGCGCCGGCAGTGTCCCGGAGCTGTGCCATCTCTCCCGGGCACCGGGACAGGCGCAGGGACAGCCGAGGCTCTGCAGGGCACGCTGGGGGCACGGTGCCGCCAGCCCCCGGCCTGCAGCACGGCCAGCCCGCAGGCAGACAGGCAGCACGGAGTCAGCACTGGGATGCAGCCACACAGAAAGATGTAGGGCCTCACAGGGAAAAGCCTCTGCAAAACAAGGGCCTTTCTTCTGATCTTACAAATGAGGTCTCAAAAGCTCAGGTGTTAAAGACAGAAGAAAATGGAGAGTGCAGCCTCTCACAACAACCTACAAAGAGAAGCAATCCACACATTTTCAGGAGACCTTCATCATTCATTTTTCAAGAATATTTAAAGACAGACTCTGTAATGAATGGCCCCAAAATACTTTCTGCGTATAATTCAGGTCATGTTAACAAAATTCCCAAAGAGATGAACTTCAAATGCTATCAGCAAGCACATTCCAACCCCAATGCTGTTAATGATACACAGGAAGTCAAACAGTGTCCCAGGGGTGTGCGTAAGCCAAGTGCCAGAGAAGCAGCTCTGCCAAGCACTGTGCCAGGGCCAAGCCAGAGGAAAGAGTCCTTGCCCTGTGCTCAGGGCCCACTCCATGCTGAGTGGCATTCAGACATGGATCAGGATGTGTTTGAGGACAGCTTGGAATTAAAATATATGGAGAATGCTCTTCTAAATAAAAACGCTCCCAGGAAGCTGAACAGTTATGCAGACAAAAATCAGTGCTATGATTCTGAAGGAAAAATTATGAGCAATATTAGGGAACTAGTCCCAAACCAGCAAAGCAAAGTGCAGAGATCACCATTGTCCAGCAGCTGCAAAGCTATGGAAGTGGAGCACCCTCAGTATGAGGAGTCAGATCAGGGAAGGAGGCAGTGTTGTGATGGCACAAGCCAAATGGCTTTTTTCAGACCAAAGGAAGATTCCACATCTCAGTCATTACGTGAAGTCCAGAAAGAAAACCAGGGTAACAACAGCAGTCCTGACCTCAGCACGTGTCTGGAACAGGAGGAACCTCCTGCTCAGAAACACCAGCCTGTATTTCAAACACAGCTCTCAAGACAGCTTTGGGAGGAGCAGGCTGGTGAGCAAATAACCAGGCAGGCAACTCCCATGCTTTACTATCTTTCTGCAGGGAAAACCACCAGTGTCCTGCACCCCAATAAGGACTCAAGGAGCTCACCAAAGGAAATTCCATCAAGCAGCTATGCTGCCTCAGTACAGTGTCTAGATAAACAAGGAGAAGGCCATCAGCTTCAGAGGAGCAGCCACCACCATCAGCGCAGTGCTGATGATCTCCAGCTTCAGAACAAAGATCTCATTTGGAGGAGTCCTGCCTCATTCACAGAAGAGACTTTCCAGAATGACTACATAGAGAAACTTAAAGTGGCTCAGAAAAAGGTTCTCAAAGAAACCTCCTTTAAAAGAAAAGACTTACAGATGAGTTTGCCTGTCAGATTAAGACAGAAATCCTCTAAAAGGCCATCAGTTGAACACCTTCGGTCTTTCTCATTATCCAGTGCAAGTGAGGATGCCAAACCTGTTCCTTGCTCCCCTTCTCATCTAGAATCCTTGGAAAGTTTCAATAGAAATGAAGACATAAGGAGGCCACAAAAAGGTCAAGCAGGGGGAAGGAAAAGGGCAACCCAAGAGCAAAAGAAACTCTGCTACTCTGAGCCTGAGAAGCTCAATCACCTAATGGATAAGGAAGTAACATGGAGTCAAGATAGGGATGAAACCACTGAGCAAGGTACAGTGGCATCCAGGGGAAGGGATCTGGAGAACAGAGGAAAGGCATTTTCCAGGACAGAGCTGAAACAAATCCAGCACAGTGCACTGATCAAATACATGGAACGAAAGATCAGTCAAAGACCAGGGGGTTCACAACACCTCCCACTGCATAAGCCACCCCTGCAGAAGAGGCTGTCAAATCCCAAAGGTCCTCCTGGCCAGATTTCCAACCCAAATGGAAGCAGGAAGATGCAAAATGATGAGGTTTTCTGCCAACTTCTCTCTGAACAAAAATCACCAGATGTTTTTCCTCCTTTGCCTCTTGCTCCCCCACTGAATGGGACCAGCAGGTGTGATCCCAGCCAAGGGGACGGGAGCTGTACCAGCAAGTGTCCATCGGCTGAAAGTCTCCCACAGGCAGGGGGTTCTGCATCTGGGAGAGCTCCTGAGAGACCAAAATCCACACAGGTAAGAAACCAGCACCTAAAGGGGGTATAAAGTCAAGAGGGACTCTGGCACTTGGAAAATGCATTTGCAGAGAACACATGCTGTATGCAGGATGAGGCTGTTTGCCCAGCAGTCATTATTGTTAATGACAGCAACTTCATTAGAGCCTATGCCAAAAAAAAAAATCATTCTAGGAAGAATTTTATAAATAAACAACCTTTTTTGGCTCCTGAATTTGAAGGACAGTAGCTGTCAATATTGCTGAGGAGAATAAAGAAGATAAAGGGCCAAAAAATAAATAATTAAACATACCACTAAAATTACCCTACTGAAGAGACAAACTTCCACTAATGCTGAATTTCTGAACTGTTAAGAGAGTAGAGGTATCTTTGGTTGACAGCTGTTCTTTTGGTTTTCTAGGAGGGGGAAAAAAATTGATGCTACCTAGTAAAAGAATGTAATAGCAATTTAATTAATAAAAAAGAGGTAGAAAAAAACACGCCCAAAGATTAAAAGCAAAACAACGACCAAAACCCAAACCTTTCTCCCTAGAAAAAAACACAAACAAACAAACAAAAAAATACAAAGAAAAAAGCACAAACCCCGGTGAACTTACTTGGAGCTCTACCATCAGCTTCCCTTTCTGGGAATAACAAACATAGGAGTAAAATCGAGCAGCTGCCTGACATGCTGGTTGCCGCAGTGAGCTGTTCTCCCTTCCAGGACCCGTGCAGATGTGCCAGATGTGCGGCAGCACCGTGCGGGCGCTGCGGGAGCTGCCCCGGCGCCTCCAGGTAAGGCTCGGGAGCTGCGTGGCTGCTCCCCGCTTCCCTCTCGGACCCTTCATTCCCACATGGAATATTCACCCGCACTGTCCGGGTCAGCCCTTAAAATCCTTCCTACCGCGTGTAGTGCCGGGCGCCCCGGGAGCTGTCCCCGCTCAGCCGCGCTCCAGCAGATCCATCAGATCTCCGGGATCACAGCTCCCTCATCCGAGCTCTGGAGAAAACAGCATTTCCAACAGCTCCCAGATGCCCAGGCCTGGAGATGTGTGATCAGGATTGCTGCAATAGGGGATTTTGGTGTGTTTTTTCAAAGGAAATAAAAAAAGTGTGCCATTTACACATCACTAATTAGGAAGTTTGTGTTTTAACTCTCCACATTTGCTTTGCTAGTTTGAGGAGCACCAAGGGAGATAAACATCTGAAATCTGTCTCAGCAAGGCAGTGATGTTGACTCCTCTGTAGAAAAAGAATTTTCACTCTTTCAAAAATATCCCGGTGGTTTCTGGAGACTTGAATGGCTTATGGAAAAAAAAATTAATTTTTTTCTTAAATTTCCTAGTTTAGCAGGTTAGCATAAAAGTAACTGAAAGTTCCAGACAGAACAATAACATCAGAAACATTTGACCATAGCTCCTAAACAGTCTGCAAAAAATCTGTTATAGAGGGAATGTCTCAAATAAAAGGAACTGTCTTCTTCCTCACAGCTTCCATGATCCTGAGAAAGATGGACCCAAGAATCATGAACATAGTGACATAAGTGGACATGTGTGTGGTCAGGATAAAAAGGAGCAGACTCCTGAAACCTCCATTCCTGTCCCAGGAAGTGGAAGCAAGGGGAGTGATGGGGTGGAGGAGGAATGCAGAACTCACTCTGTGAGTGGGAATGCTGCACTCAAGCATCCAGAGCAGCAGCAGCCTGCAGCTTCTCCAGGGCAGGGAATGCTTCTCCACACAGCACCAGCTCAGCCTCACCAAGGACACAAACATCCAGCCAAAGGTTTACTTGCCCAGGAAACATCCATGCACAGCAGCCACGATGATGTTCCCCTGGAGAGAGAGACTCACCTGCCCCAAAGGAGGCTGCAGTCTCCTCAGGAGCAGCGATGCCAGGAGCTTGCTATGGAGATCATTGCCATGGACAGCTCTTTGGTGGACATTCTCATGCCTCATCCTCTTAGAAAAACTGCTTTGGACCTGATGGAGGGTTTGTTTCCTGTCCACATTTCCATGCTGGATAAATCACGCAGGAAAAGGGGAAAGGCACAGCATGTTCAGGAGAATGAGTAAGTAGACAAAACCAATTATCTAGCACTTTGGTCTATTTTAATGTATAGATATTATACATACGAGTAGTAAGATGAACTTGAGCACGTTGCTTCATTTTTGCTTCATTAGAAAACATACAGCTTTCTGATTTACTTACCAAAAAACGTCTGAAGTTAAGGGTATATAATGGAAGAAAAGTGGTTCAGTGGTTCCTTATTAAAGGGACTCTGACAGACCTAGGCTGCAAATCTTTTGCTCTGTATCTTCTAAAAATTTAGAAGATCTCCTGGGGTGAGAAGAGAGGAGAGTGATCCTGAAGTCAAAATGGATAAAACCATGAATTCAGTGTTAGTGAAGAAAACTGTAGAGTGTTTGCTTTGGGTATTTATTTTCTTTTTCAATAGCACGAAAAGTCATGGAGATGGACCAGAAGAATATCCAAAATCTGAACATGAAACCAAGCAAAGGAGCAAAGATCCTGCTTCTATGAGAAACCAAGTCCTGAAGAGAAACAGAGACAGCACAAATGAGCTAGATGACATCACATCTAAGAAAGTATGTAGATAACCATCACAAGATCCACAGTTTTTTCCATCATGATAAAGAAATTCTTACTAATGTCATTATTACTATGGATATTTTTATCCCAATAACATTTCACAGGTAACTTTGAATCAATTTTTGCCAGAAGGTAAAGTACTGGAAAACTGGCATATTGATCATAAGTGGTGCTATTTAAATCCTGTCTGATTTGACTCAGATCTCTCATCTATCATCATTAAAGGTTTCCTTGCACAGCCAGCTCCTGTGCAGCAGCAGCAAACTCCAAATTTAACACTCAAATCTAATATTGAAATCTGTAAAATAAATCAGAACTGGCAGCCTAAATAAGAAATGTTCTTTTCTCTGAGAGCTGGCAGCAGCTTCTGCACATTCCAGTGTCCAATTAATTCCATGCATGCAGAGAATGGGGGACACAGCTGGACGGTGACAGAAGTATGGAGCTTGGAAGGGTGATTTTGTAGCTTTGCACAGTCAGGTGGGCTTTTCCCCTGGACATGCTCCATCTCAGATAACAACAATCTGCCTTCCCGAGGCTCCTCCTGCTGTGCACATCACCTGCTGTCTTACTGCTGCTCCTGTTCATGGTGGCATTGTCCATGGTGTGCTCACACTCAACTCTTGAGGCCTTTTTCCAATTAATTTCCCTATGAAACTGTGGGACTCACATGAAACAGCCTTCTCTGATTGCTTTTCTACCTTGGCACCATGGCCTGCTTGAATTGCCCATGGAACTGACTTTTTTTGTGTGTATGATAAGTGAAATTCCAATCAGTTCTTCCAAAGCTTGGTACAGAGCTAGAACTTCAAGCTCCTGTCTTAGAACAACAATTCTGTGTAATCATGTTGTAATCTTTATTGCAGTTCCCTTCTGACTGATTGGAAGCTCTCTGAGCCAGAGAATATATCACCAGCTAAGGTGATTACCAGTAATTTGCTTTTCAGAGTTTAAGAATTAAGTACAGCTTAGAAAATATCACTGCTTTTTTCTCCCTTTTTCCTTTCCTGTAGCTTAAAATTATTTTACAAGTCAAAAATTTGGCAAAGACAATGTGAATTTCTAGAACTGATGTGGATTCTCTTTGGCAGTAACAGTTCCTGTGATCTTTTTTTTTTCTTTTTGCAGCTGGAACTCATGGCCAGTCTCCAGTCCAGGCTGCAGGCGCTGTGGGAGGAACAGGAGCTGGTTCTCTTGGAAGTCAGGGAATGTGCCAAGTGGGGCAAGGAGCTGGAGGTGCTGGTGCGGGAGCTGTGCAAGCCCAACGAGTTCGAGCGGTACCTGATGTTCATTGGGGACCTGGAGAAGGTGCTGAGCCTCCTGCTCTGCTTGTCCAGCCGCCTCGCCCGAGTCCAGAACGCCATGAGCAGGATGGATGGCAACACAGAGCCTGAGGAGAAGGTGAGACACAACAGGTGCTGAATTGCTTTAGTTCACTTCTTTCCAGGTGTGACTTCTTGACATCCCAGGATGGGCACGTCCCCAGGGCTGGAGCAGAGCAGGGCCCTGGTGAGGACCAGGACAGTGCTGGAGCACAGCAGTGCAGAGTGAGCCTGCAGCTCTGTGCTGGGGCCAACAGCAAAACCTTGAGAGGCTCCAAGCCAGGAGGGTGGCCTTTGGAACCTTGGTCTGCTCCCTGTAGAGTAGCTCCAAACCTGTGCTTTTTGTAGGTTTATTTTTCCACTGATAATTTCATTGCATTAATTACTTGCCTTTTTAATCATATTTCACTAAATGGGTTTGTCCTAGCGAGCAGGAAGGTGTGGTCATAATTTGAGATAAAGCTCACTGTAGTTTAACTCAAGTAGCCAGCTCTGATGGAAAATGAGGAATTGCCTCATGTCACCAGAAATAATTTCAACTCTTGCAAAGTCTCCTTTTTGCTGAAGAAGAAAAGCCAAATTTATCCCAGGAATTACGCTTGTCTGCTATGCTTATTGCTCTAATCATGTTTTTATCAACACAATACCTGCTGTTATCTCTCTTTTGGAAATTAGAAAAGCATAGAGTTAGAAAAACCGAGATTTTTTTGGAGCTGTGTTGCTGCTGACCTGTATCTCCGGAGGTTCATCATAGCTCACACACAAAATAGCACTAAAAAGGTCCTTTCATGCAGTGTGACATAGAGAGCCAGGATTCGCCTCTTCCAAAATGCCAGTTGTATTAATGTGAATGATTTTAAACAGTATTACATGCTTACTTTCACTTTATGGTAGGCAGGAAGGGTGTTGTTTCCCTGGTATTACATTTATATTCTTCATAGGAAACACATTTAAATAATTTATTCAAATATTTGAATAAACTGCCTAATAAAGATTTGGTTAAGTGCCAACAGCTTTTGGCATAATAAAGACTTGTTTAAGTGCCAACAGTTTTTAACAACTTTCTCCCACTAATTGCATTTGCCCTCATGTCAGGAAAACCAGCAATCTCAATCTTTGACTCCATTTTTAGGGTGTCAGTAGTGACCATTGCATTGTGCTCTATTTATGGACACTGTCCTGAAACAGAATATTTTCCAGCAGTGTACTCCCCATGAAAATTATTACAGCTGAATGAGAATTAGCTCAAGGTGAAAGGTACAAAAATTGCATAGAACAAGCAAGGCCCAACTCTTCTAAAAGAAGCCTTTGATGAACAGTTACTGTCTACATCACACTGTTATTTTATCACACTGATGCCTTTTCATGGTCTTAAAAACTTGAGAGCCAGATATGGTTACATGATAAAGGGTCTTTACCTTGGTATTTAATAAGGATCTTTATGGTGCCCCACTTTGCTAAGGTGGAATGCACCGCAGTGCACACACACAATAGATGGTATATACAATTTACAGACCTCACAAATCAGCATATCTAACAAAGATGCCCCTATGAGAGTCTTGGATGAATGGCATGACCTCCCCTATCCTGAAGAATTCCCCCCTGGATGGGCTAAACCTTGTTTTACAGGATATGTTCTAGAGAAGACCTTGGTTTCCCAAGATACCGCAGGGTTTTCTGGCCTCCAGCTGCAAGCATCCAGGTGTTTGATCTCTTGGCTTAACAGAGTACCAGCACTATGCTAAGTTATCAGACCTAAGGAATTACAACTATGCTTGCTAAGAGTACTGAGGATATATAAAAGGTATATAAAAGAAAGGGCAAAAAATCATCTTGGCATCAACGCGGACCTTTTAATAGAATCCACTCTGTCTTTTTAATATGTCAGTGGCATTCTGGGCACATGCAACACACAAAACACAAAGATATATACCTTAAAAAGCTTCTAATTGAATGAAGATTGTTACAGAATACTTTAAAATGACCAGAATTTTAAGTATATTGATTTTTTTTTTTTCATGAGGACAGCATAGGAAAAGCGGGCCTTGATGGCATTTATTGTGTCTTTACCTTACAAGCCACAAGAATGAGTAATTCAATTGAGAAAAAACTCAGGTGGAAAGCCCACAAGAGGAAGTAATTAAATTAAATTGACTGTGGCTTCCAAATGAAGAAACAGAGCCTGGCAGGAATGATGGGTCTCATGGTGTGCTGCTTTGCTTTTTGGTTCCATTAGCAATCGCTGAATGAACGGCACAAGCTCTTGTCTCGACAGCGGGAAGATGCAAAGGACCTGAAGGAGAATCTGGACAGGAGAGAACGTGTGGTCTCTGGAATCCTTGCCAAATACCTGACAGAGCAGCAGCTCCAGGACTACCAGCACTTTGTTCAAGTCAAGACCTCCTTGCTGATTGAACAGAAGGACCTCGAAGAGCAGATTAGATTTTTTGAAGAACAGTTAGAAAATCTCGAACAAAGCATCCCCATCTAACACCCACCACCAGGCCAGACATTTTTATATCTTATATGTGATGTTTCCCTGGAAATCCACAGGCACTCCCAGGGCTCAGTTTGGTGGGTTCTTCCAATCCTGTTGGTGCCACAGCATTGACAAGTGTTCAGATGCTCTGGGATGCTCCAGGCACACTCTGGACATGCCCTTCACTTGGACAGGCCAAGTGACAGCATCTCACAGTGTGTAGCAAACTGCCTTGTGGACATGACTGATAGGATTCATTGCTCCTATTAACTGAATGTGTATTTCCCCTTCCTCTTGGCTGTCCATCTGTTTCCAGGTTGACATCATCTCAATAAAAGAACCATACAAATATTTGCCTCTTGTGGGAGGGTGGGTTGAGTGTTTGAAATGAAAAATTATGTGGGTGTTCAGATTTGAATTGGTGATTGCACAAAGCCATAGGAAATGTTATGGACCATTTCAGTGAAACTCCTGCACTCGTTTCTACTGTTTATATGTGTGACACAGTAAAAATACACTGTAATGAAAGAAAATAATGACTTCCTTTCTTGGCAGTTATCACCCATGAGTCTTTCCTGGCTCTGTGTAATCCTGGTATGCTGTTCAGAGGAGGTCAGAAAAAGGGTGGTCTTCACTGACATCAAGGAGCCAATCAGTCATGTAGCCATGAGTTTGGGAATCACAAACTCTGAGTTTATTCCTGCACAGTCATTTGCAAAGTCCTTGCTGTGCTTTTGAAGAATTTCTTTTTCAAGCAGCACCTTCAGGGGGTTGTTTTTAGGTAGTTTTCAATTTTCAGCATGCACAAAAAGCCTGAACATGGGGGAAAAGCTCAGCTGCAGACTGTGCCAGGAGTGGAAGAGATTATTCGGTTTCAATGAGACTTTATATAAATCCCTCAGCAAAACTCTTTTAAGCCAGTGTTTGCATTGAGTCAAACCAGTGATGTTGTTGTATTTAAAATCTCTGTTTTGTTTGCAAGAATTCAGTGAGAACAATATGCAGCCTAAACTACATACCTAGACCATGAATAAAGCAGCCACTAATTAAACTCAGGTTTCTTCCATAGCCAAAACAGATGTTCATGGTGCCATGATGCTGGGCTTTACCAAGAAATGTTTTACTAGTGGTGTGTGTCCTGGCTACAGTAAGTACCCCCACCACTGAGAGAAGCTGTCCTGCTTGTGAGGAATTTTCTCTGGAATTGCATGTCACTGGCCACAAGAACTCTGGGAGCACAGTCACCAAGCTGCCAGGTGTGCTGTGGTTGTTTTAATACCTGAGGGGAAATGGCCAGACACTGTAGAGCCTGTGAGTAATCTGCACAGTGAAGGCCATAAATACAGGCTTTTAATACATAAATCGGAAAGCTGCCTTTTGAAAATGGTTTTTAAAATAACAGAAGCAATGTTAATGGAGAATGGAGAATTTATAAAATACAAGCATAGCTTTTACATTATTTGAGAAGCCTGACTTAAGGTGCATTTTATTCTTATTATTCTGAGTTGAGAGGAAAACACCCGATTGGAAATAGGTGTTTTGTAATTGAAGCTAATGCTTGCTTTTAAGGGGAAAAATGGGTCTGCCCTGTTTATCTTATCTTCTTAGGGTGTTGTGCCCACAGGGAGGGCAATTTCTACCCCTTCCACAACTGGCACTCACACGTATGCTTTAAAGAGCAATAATTAAAAATAACTTTGACTCTATTTTTTTTTTTTTAAATAGTCTCCTTGGTACAGTGTTAGACTGTAAATTCCAGGCAAAGTGAAAAATGGTCACAGTGGCAGCATCAGAACCTCTCTGAAGGCAAGCAGAGACCCCCTTTCAAAGTACCAGCAGGTCTGGATTGTCAGGTGGGTCTCGGTTTTGATACTGATCATTTGTTACAAATTTATTAGGAGGATAATGGTGAAAGTTCATCTGGACCTCAGCCATGTGCAGCATTCCTGGCACACCAACATACTAAGTCATTGTAAGTGTCCCTTTCTGCTCTGGTCAGCTGTGGTCTCTGAAATTACAGACTGAAGCCAAGAAATAGTTTAAGCATATGCTCTTGAATCTTACTGCCTTTTGCTGAAAGTTTGGTATTTAGAGCACTAGTTACATCCCCATACCAACACATGGCAGCTTTTTCCCAACTTCAGCTCATGCAGCGTAGAAGGCAACATGGCCAGAAACACAGAGTGTCTTCATTTTACAACACTGTGATCCCACACTGCTCCACAGTTCTTTCTGACCCTTTACCATCAGAAGACATAATAAAGACTTGAACTCTCAATAGCGGTAACTGGAGGTCTTTTGGGGAAGCACATCCACAGGTATTATGGAAATAAAATCCTGTGCAGTGCTTGGGTATAATTACTGCTCATACCATTACTCACCAGCCTTCCATTTGTGACCTCTGCAGCCACGGCACTGGGTTACCTCTGACCGGGGCCCTGGCAAGTGTCAGCTTCAAGAGATTTCTGCACCTTGGCAATGCCCTCGTGCTGGGAGACTTCTTATGTGAACAAAGTCAGGTTGTGTGAGCTGGGGAAATGCAAGGAATGAAGAAGTTCCCTGGTACCTGACCTTCCAGGAGAGCAGGCAGGAATTCCCCGCTATGCCCAGCCTTGGGAGTCCCCTGCTGCTGCTGCCAGCCTGATCCTTTCACAGGTAACACATAACGTGAGCCCAGCTGCATGGAGAGCTGTAATCGGAGCTGTCTCTGTGAATTAATGACAACTGCGGCCAGGAGAGTGCAGAACAGCAGGGCTGGGGAGAAGGAAGGGGTGGAAGAGCAAACAGCAAGCACCCAGATCTGCCCGTGGTGTGCCGGGGTGGGAGGCTGGTGGGATTCCAGGAACCATCTCTGCTTGGCCGCCCACACACGGGTGGCGTGGGGGGACCGCAATATTCTGTCGTGCTGGGCGGAGAAGGGCTGACTTTGGCTGAGAAGTGGCTGGAATTGCCCTGGGCACAGCAGGAGCCTGCGGGAGCAGCGCACCCTGCCTGCCTGACAGCAGCGCGTCCTGGCAGCAAGGCAGGGATTTCAGACACAGAACTCCCTTAGAACTTCATTTAACATCCACGTCAATGTGTGGGAGTCGCTGCTGGACCAGGAGCTGCTGTCTCAGCCTTTTGCGCACTAAAATGAGGGATTTTCATTATTTTGTTTAAAACCCTAGCCTCACTTTCTTCGCTGGGGCGTTATACTGGGGGACTTCTGCATGTGGAACTAATTAAGGAACAGAGAGCCGCAGGAGTTAATACAAATGTACTTTGCAAAAAGATCTATTTGGTGCTTGTGAGAGCTGTATTTAATAAGTAGAAGGATATTCTCTCTGCTTTGAGAATTCATGGCAACCATCTGAATAATTTTTTTTTTTAAATAAACTCAGAGCAGCATTGCAAAACTAGCGTTCTGTGCCTGGAGGGAGCCCACATAGACATTAAGGAATAATCAGCCTGTAGGAACCATGCGGTTCACAAAAGGCTCTCAAGAAGCAGCACTTGAATTTCACTGCTAAATGAAGAGAGGCATTAAAGGTTATCAGAGACTCTAAAATACCACATTAGCCTTGAAGCTGAGTCATCTCAGATAAATCCACAGAGAGACAATGTGGGCTGCACTGATAGTCTTGATTTAGAGAATAAGAGACATTTCTAAAAATGTGAATAAAGACCCAGAGGTCTTTCTAATGGGCTCAGCCCATGGTGGAAGAGTAAGAACATCCCAGACTACCTCAAAAGGGAACCACTTGTGAAGCAATCTCTCCAGAGACCCCTTTGACAGCTCCTGATGGAAAGGATGGTGCCTGCAGAACCCCTTTCTGGGTTCCAGCTGCTCCCTGCTGAGCACAGGGTCAGTGTCACCTGATGTCACAGTGGCTGCTTGGACAGGTCTGCTCTGGAGCTGATCCCAGCCTGGAGTGAAGCTGCACATCTTTGTTGCGAAGGGGAAAACTACCACTGGGGAGTGGTGGAAGAAAGTACAACACAAAAATCATGGTGAGAAAGTTTGTCTGTACCACTGCAGTTTGTTATTGTCACCATATTGGTGAATATTATTGGTGTGACCTTCTGCCTCATGCAGGAGCCCCTGGGTGAGGACACCAGGGAAGGCCTGGCACCCCAATACCATCACCTCCCATCAAGGGCTCGTGCATTTGGCTTCAGGTTCTATTCCGTGGAAATGAAAGCTGTTTGGTTTTGTCAGCTGTGACTCCACAGTGCTTGCTCTGCTTCTCAGCTGGAGTCTCTCTTCTTGTCTGGAGGGTCTTGAGGGATGGGGATGGATGATTTTCCTCTTGGGAAATGGTGGTTTGGGTTTGGCTAAGAACTCATGCTTTCAGGTGAACAAAAATAATGCCCTACCTGGGACAAACATAGAGCAGAAGTTCTACCAAAAAAGGGAAAGCTGAACACTGCCAGCATAATTTTTATTGTGCACTTCTCTATTTTGTCTTCAAAGAAAGGGAAGAAGATGTACTAAAGTTGTGCTAATATTAACAGTGTGGATCTATTTTGCATGGCTTCAGGTTGCACACACAGTATAAAGGCTCAATGTGCTTAATGAATTGCTTTGTCTTCTACATTACTGAAATAAACCTTGAAACTGGAATAGAAATATTCTTCATTAGGATGCAGGGTTTTGATCTGTGCTGTCCTGCTCTGCCCCTGCTCTCCCCCTTCAGCAAACAAACGCCACACTGTCTGTGCCCATGCTACATGCTGGCCAAGTCCCTGTTAAAAACCTCTTAATTTGGGGAGTCACACAAAAGTTCAAACAACTGGAAAGGGCGAAAACTGCCGTGCTGCTATTTTATTCAGATTAATATGCAAATCGGGAGGCAAGTACATCCAAGGAATGTAGGTCATGGTGGAAACACGAAGAGAGGCAGCCAGAGATGAGCAATGAGGAATCAGGTGACTGTCTAGAAATGCTTCCTCTACCTCCAGTTGGTGGCTGCAGCTCCCATTGGTCTTTGAGAGTTACTGTGACTCTTTCACTGGACCGTGGGTTTGTGATGAAGCTGAAATCTCATTAAGACCCCTCTGCAGTGCAGGAACAGGGTTTCCTGGGTTTTCATAGTCCACGTTTCTGTGCAGCACTCACAAGAGAATGGACACAGCTAAAAATCTCTGTGAGCCTGACCACAACCACAGTGCCTCGCACTGCTCAAACAGCCACATCCGGGAGGACAAAGTCTGTCCCTTTGTGCAGAATTGTGGTTTGAGGTTTGTTTGCAGAGCTCTTCAGAGCAGGTTTTTGAGCTGGTACTCCTCAGAACAAAATGTGCCAAGGAACAGACAAACCAAGTTATCCTTAGCAGGCAGACTGAGCCAGGGTCAGGGAAACAGTAGCTTTCCTGATCCCTAGTGCTGCTGAACTAAAATCTGAGCTGGTTTTCATTTCTGTAGGCGCTCCACTGAATGCACATTCGGAGGGTGGGGGAATGACACTGCTCATGCTGCCTACAGGCCTAAAAACATTATCTTGATTTCAATTTGCATATCAGTACTGACTGTGTACTTTAAAGAAGTGACCAAGGTGATTATCTACATTTTATAGCAGGAAATAACCAAGGCAAAATACCACCAAGCTGCTGAGTCCTGCCCCTGTGCCTGATCTGTGCCTTCCATCTCCAGCCTTCCCCACCACTAAGCCCTCTCCAGGGGGCAGGAGCAGAGCCAGGGAGCCCTCAGGTTTTTTTGGTTTTTACCTTTCCTCCTCTTAGCTTTGATGGTGCCTTGGGCAGCTCCCAGCTCTGGGCTGGGCCAAGGATTCAAAGGCTTTGTGCCCAGCCCATGGCACAGCCCAGTGTGCTGAGGGAACCCAGTCCTCCTCTCAGCTGTTCCTGTGAAAACATCCTAGCCAAACTTCATAGCTGTCATTCATTCAGGTGAAAATCCTACTGCATTCAGCCAGATTTGGGCTTGAAAATGAGAATTAGGGAGAATCAGTCAAGCTGAGGGGTTCATAAAACAGTCCTGCTTTAGCCTTTTGTAGAAAAACACTCTCATGATCACTCATTGTCCTACAGTGTCCCTTCCCACAGTTTAAAGGGTGACATTGAACCCAAACCACAGCCATGCTGACAGACTGGTTTAACTTCAAACTGAAGGCACTACATGTACCTGTGGGATGACAGCAGTGTGTTCTCAATACCTTTCAGGACTTGTCTGCACGGCACTTGGTGTACTCATCCCAGCCTCCCTAAATGCCATCTTTTCCTTCATGGGCTCTACAAGGAGGAGGAATGAGCTGAGTCACTGCACAAACCTGCTGGCAGAGCCTGGCCTGACCTACCCCACCCACAGCACCTGGTCTTGGGAGCACCTCTGTGACACCACCCCCCGGCCAAGCCTCCAGCACTCCCTGGGGAATGCTGGAAGAGGGCTCTTGCAGGTTTGTGCACTCCCTGGGGAATGCTGGAAGAGGGCTCTTGCAGGTTTGTGCCCTCCCTGGGGAATGCTGGAAGAGGGCTCTTGCAGGTTTGTGCCCTCCCTGGGGAATGCTGGAAGAGGGCTCTTGCAGGTTTGTGCCCTCCCTGGGGAATGCTGGAAGAGGGCTTTTGCTGCTGGCCATTTTTCTATCACACCAGCTAATCACTTAGATGCCTCTGAGGAAGGAGTAATGCAGAATTTTCTTGGTGATATGTGTTGTAATGAAGTCTTATCTCAACTGTGACTTCTCTGACAGAACAATAGAGAAGCAATGAAACCTCCCTGCTTTCCCGGGGTGAAATCACAAGCATGCTCTCCAGATTAGTCAGGTGGGGTTTTTAAACACAAAACACTCCATCCTTGAACCCTGCCTCTGGCTCATGCAGGCTTGACTCTGAATTAGCACTAAAGTTCAGCAATGTTGTCTGAACAGGTATCAAGCCTATACTCATAATTATTGAACAAACTTCTCAATAGGCCAAGTCAAACTGGAGTGTTTGCAATTCCCACAGAAACAGAACACTTCCACCAGGCAGTGTCAGTGCCTCAGAGGTAACATGAATACACACACACACTTCTGTAGTTTCAGGGGAGGAAAAAAAAAAGTTCTATGTCCATACACTTGGAAATACACTTTAGAACAGAGCCCTGTTTTTCCCAAAACTCTGCAAGCTGACAGATTGCAGCACAAATCATGGCTTCAAAGGACCACGCTGGTCAATGGTTACCAACAGCTAGAGAGTAAATTGGATTTTATTTTTTTTAAACCCTACTCCAGATATAGAAGTCATGAGGTGCTTGATCATTAACCTCTGCTTAACAACTTAATTAGTTCAATCCACAAGCAGACCAGTGCAGAATAATCCAGTCTCTTCCTAGAACAGGTGCATCAGACCTGCCTGCAACCTCTGATCACACTCCCAACGAATGTCACAACTCCAGGAACTTCAGGGAGAGTGTTTTGAAGTAAAGAGGGCAGTGCCTCCATCTTCAGTCCTACAGCATTCCTTGTGAGTGTTTAGGACAAGCCAATTAGAACCAATTACAAGTACTAGGTTTAATGCACGGCAGAAAAAAAACAAACATTCCTGAAGTCACTGACCTGGAAGGAAAGGCAAAGAATGCAAACTAGTGTTTCAATGCAGAAACCCAAACAGAGTCAGTGCAGCATTGCTCTCACCTTCAGCACCTCTCAATGATAGAGGTTTCTACCACAGCTTTAGAGAAAACATGCTGGTTTAGCAGACTTGCTCCAGAAGTTAATCAGATTCTGTTCATAGCTCTGCCTCTTTGCATTAACTGTAACCAAGAAGTAATTAAAATAATAATAATCTTACTGCAAACCTAACATGCAGTTAGCATGCTTTTTGAGCTATGTGCAGTTCTATATATAGAACAATTATGTTTATCATATAAAAGAAGAAGAGTTCCTTTTAGGTCAATGATTCAGGTTGTTGAGATAAACACTGCTTCAAGAGGTCATGCAGAGGTTCTATCTTGAAACACCTAACATAACATAAAGCCCCATGTTTATAAATATTTATTGTAAGTCGGTCAAAATGGGCCAAGTTTTAAACAAAAAGAATCAGACATACAAGGCTAACTTTGTTTCCAGTTGACTACTCAGAAACTCTGACAGATCCAATTCTCAGTTTTTCAGTTCAATTTTTCACTGTCAATAAGGTTCTTTATTCAGTTTAAGTTGATTGAACAACAGTGAAGTTTAAATGTTCACAGTATCATCAAGACATGTGGTCAACAAGTCTTTCAGGGACAGAGAAAATCTTAAACCACTAGCCAAGCCTTCAAACTGAGGTAGACAAGTCATGGTGACTCTAGTGCTGAAGGTCAGGGTCTATCTTTTAAAATAATTTATCTAATAAAATGCATCAGGCAACAATTGAGATTGTTATGTTAGTATTTCTGATGTGAAATTTTGAGTGAGAAGCTCTCAAAGTGAGAAACTTTGTTTTGAAAAAGTACACAATTTTTGTAAATAGAAATATCCTTCTTCTATTACCAAAATAATCAGAAACATCATAGAAAACTATGCGTCTTTCCTCTGATAATTTAACCCTGTTAGATAACAAGCCTTGTTAAAGTAGCCAGCTACCAACTTGCTGTTCACAGTGTAAAATATGCAATCCTTCATCTTGCTTCTGCTCCCCAGCTGAACACAGATCAAGAAGGCTGTACCTCAGGCATTTTGACCTGTCCACACATACATAAGTTATTTTAGCTTGTCAACATTAAGTATAAAGGTTGTGGTCTCCACCACCAGATCAGCACAATGGTACACACAGCATGGATAGCACTTCCTGGCAGCTCCCTTTCCACAGGCACCTGGGGCTGCGTTTCATGCTGTGGGCTTTGGATGTAGACCCAATCACTGATTCAGTTAAACATCCGAAAATACAGAGACAGAGGGAAAAAAAATCCAAAATGCTTCTGCAAGAGAAAGCTGAGACAGCAGCCATGCTATTAAACCATTTGATCACAGTAAGGCAGAGGTTAATGGCCAAAGAACAGCTCAGAAACGGGTCTGCGTTTCACAACCACCTCTTCCTCCTCCTCCGCCACCTCAGAGAGTGAGGAATATGAAGGGAAGCCCCCTCTGATCTTTGGCTTCCTCCTCGGGCCCGTACTGGCAGTCAGAAGCTTGTTTAAAGTTGAGGGCTTCCTTAAACCTTTGGTGAGATCATAGAAAGCCATATCATCAGATATGACTCCCAGGAAAGTGCTAGTGGAGCTCAAGATTGAAGCCGCAAGCTTTGTAGACTTCTTGATGGGCACGGAGTGTTCCATGTTTTGGGAAAGGCTGGGGTCCCCCAGCAAACGCCTGATTGTAAGAGATGTCCCTTCCTTTAAGTACTGGTGCGGCTTCTTCCCACTGTAGTCCCTCAGGTCAGTCTTGGCATGGTAGCTGTAGACGAGCATGGTGATGATCTTCTCCTGGCCGTGAATAGCAGCCAGGTGCAGCGCCGTGTAGCCACCGTGCGACCGGGCATCCACGTTGACGCGGGACCCGCCCTTCTCGGCCGCTCGGATGATGTTGGTCACCATGTCGCAGTTGCCGCTCTTGGCGGCCCAGTGCAGGGCGGTGAAGCCGGAGATGAAGTCCCTGCGAGCGGCCAGGCTGGCGTCGCCCAGCAGCAGCCCGTGGAGCTGCTGCGTCCACTGCCCGTCGGCGGCCAGCACCAGCCACTGGTGCTCCGCCTGCTCCAGGGGCACCACGGTCTCCTCGCTGGCCCGGTGGTTCTTGGGCCCCCTGCGCAGCCCGGGCGAGCGGGACCCGGGCTCCTCGTCCGGCGGCGGGGGGGACAGCGGGCCGGCCGCCTGCTCGGGCGGCGCCGGGGCGGCGGGGGCCGGCACGCAGCGCACGGGCAGCATGCAGGGCTTGGGCGGCGGCTCCCGCCGGGCCCCCGCCGCGGCCCCGGGCAGCGGCACCCCGCCGCCGCCGCCCTGGAACAGGCCCCGCAGCTCGGCCACGGCCCGCGGCCCCGGCGGCTCCTCGGGGGGCGTCCCGGCGGGGTCCGGGGCGGGGACGGGAGCCGGGTCGGGGACGGGAGCCGGGACGGGGCCGCCGGCATCGCCCCCCGCCGGCGGGGCAGCGCGGAGCTGCCGCTTCAGCACCACGAACTTGACGCCGTCGATCTCCTTCACCGTGGCCACGGCGTTCACCGCCGCCTTGAACCGCTCCCGCCGCGCCGCCCGCCCCTCCGCCTGCCCGGCATCGGCCCCGGCCCCGGCGGCCTCCAGCAGCGGCCGGAAGGCGCTCACCAGCTCGGCGTTGCGCACCCGCCCGCCGCGCTCCCTCAGGAAGCCGAGCACTGCCTCCGCGCTGATGTCGAGCTCCGCCATCCCGCCGCCACAGGTGGTGGTGGCGGGGCCGCCGCCGCGCCTGCCGCCTCCGCGCGGCGTGGGATGCCGGCGGCCCGCGGGGGTGGCCGGACTCGGGGCCGGAGGCACCTGCCTGCTCCGCAGCCGCTCCCGCGGAGGTGCTCAGCCGCCCCGCCCCGCAAACGGAGCGCGGCCGCCCCGCCGCCGGTCCCGCCCCGCCCGCGGGCGGCGCTGCCGAGAGAGCCCGGCCCGGGCGGTGGGAGCGGGACGGCGGCACCGGCACCGGCACCGGCATGGGCATCAACACCGGTACCGGCACCAACACCGGTACCAGCACTGGCATCGGCATCAACACCGGTACCGGCACCGGCACCGGTACCGGCACCGGCACCGGCACCGGCATCAACACCGGTACCGGCACCGGCACCGGCACCGGTACCGGCACCAACACCGGTACCAGCACTGGCATCGGCATCAACGCCGGTACCAGCACCGGCACCCGGCACCGGCACCGCGCGGGGGGACGGGCGGGCGGCGGGGCTGGACGCGGACCCGTCCCTGAAGCCGAACCAAGCGTCGGTGCGGGCACAGAGCTACCGCAGACTCCTCGAGCAGGACCGAACGCTTCATCCATTTACGCGTCTTCCAGCTTCCTAAAACGATTCTTGTACGGGGGAGGAGAGGGTTTGTTTGATTTAGTTTGGATTTTGTTTTGTTTTAGTACCAAATAAGTGGAGAAGCACTGGGTAGAAATCACTTGCAGGGTTTGGTCTCCATTCCTAGAAAATCCTCAGGAGTTCTGTGGGACCAGTGATCCTGCTCGGCAAGAGGCTGGTGCCTCAAAATTGTCAGAAGATGGGTGAATGGGTCAGTCTTTTGAAATATACTCACCTCTATGTGATGCTGTATGATATTATATATATCAAAGAGTATACAGATTGCATATTTATTATCATATATATATATACATGACCATATATTATTATCAGTGTATTTTACATATATTGCATCTACAACTCTAACCCCTAACACTAACCCTAATGGCCTAATCCTAACCCAAAACCAATCCTAACCCCTACCCTGGGGTGGGGGACCCTAACCCAAAACTAACCCTAATCCTAAATCTAAATTACCCTGACCCTAAAAATAACACTAAAACTAACCCTAACCCTAAAGCTAGGCATAACCCTATCCCTGACCCTAACACTAAAACTAACCCCAACCCTAATCCAAACCCAAACCCTAATCCTTACCCTAACCCAAACCCAAACCCTAATCCAAACCCTTGTCTATTTAAACAATTAAATATTTACAGCATGGCTGCATCTCTTCATGTCCACCAGGAGAAGAGAGAGCTTCTCCTTTTATAGAGAAGCTGTCTCAGCTGTCTTATCCATTACTTGTGCATAAGCATTCAACATTACTGTTCTCTGCTCTACAGGAGAAAATAAATCCCAGAAAAGTGCTTTTCTCCAGGCAGAGTAGGAGGACTGAGGACCTCTTGGAGGGATGTTCAGCCTGCAAACTTGCTTTCGCCTCTGAATCCTGCAGTTAAGATCATAAATGGATGCCTGAACAGTTTGTCTAGGAGAAGAGCAGAAGAAACTAAGAACAGAATGAACAGCCAGTGTGGTATGAAGACAGATAAAAGTAACTGTATGAGGATGGGTAAGAAAATGCAAATAGATGCAAAAAGTAACTGTATGAGGATGGGTAAGAAAATGCAAAAAGTAACTGCATGAGGATGGGTAAGAAAATGCAAATGAGTTGTTTTCAGTCTAACTTAATAAAATGGAACATCCTTTTATGACAAGTCACCTGCCTAGTAGGGAAGTCTGTGGATGTAGTCTACCTGGACTTCAGCAAAGCCTTCAATACTGTCTCCCACAGCATTCTCCTGGAGATGCTGACAGCCCACGGCTTGGAGTCCACTCTTCTCTAAAGGGTTAAAAACTGCCTGGATGGCTGAGCCCCGAGAGTGGTAGTGAATGGTGCCACATTCCGTGGGTGACTGGTCACTAGTGGGGTTCCCCAGGGCTCAGTGTTGGGCCCAGTCCTGTTTAATATCTTTATTAATCATCTGGACGAGGGGCTGGAGAACAGCCTCAGGAAGTTCACAGATGACACCACGTTGGTGGGAGTGTTGATGTGCTGGAGAGCAAGAAGGCTCTGCAGAGGGATCTGGACAGGCTGGATCAATGGGCTAAGGCAGTGTGAGGGTCAACAAGGTGAAATGGCAGGCCCTACACTTCAGCCACAGCAACTCGCCCCCCAGAGCCACAGGCTTGGGCAGAGCAGCTGAAAAACCTCCCAGTGGGAAAGAAGCTGGAGGTGCTGGTTGAGCATGAGCCCAGGTGGGCAAGAAGGCCAATGGTAGCCTGGTCTGTGTCAGCAATGGTGTGGCCAGCAGGACCAGGGCAGCTCTGGTACTCAGCACTGGTGAGGCCACACCTCAAGTGCTGTGTCCAGTTCTGGACCCCTCAGTTCAGGAAGGACATTGAGCTGCTGGAGGTTTTTAGCCTGAGGAGACCTTATCACTCTACAAGTACCTGAAAGGAGGCTGTAGGAAGGTGCAGTTTGGCCTTTTCTCCCAGGCAGCCAGAGACAGGACACGGGGAAATGGCCTTAAGCTGCACCAGGGGAGGTTCAGGTTGGGCATCAGAAGGAATTTCTTTACAGTAAAGATTTCAAACTCTGCAATGGTCTGCCCAGGGAGGTGGTAGGGTGTCCATCCCTGAAGTGTTCAAGGAGTGACTGGACATAGCACTTACTGCTGTGGTTTAGTAGACAAAGTGGTGTTTAGTCAAAGGCTGGACTTGATGACCTTGGAGCTTTTTCCAACTTTAATGATTTTCTGATCAGTCTGTGTCAAAGTCTCCATTTTGAAGGCAATGTGAGGTGTGTCATTGCTGATGCTGACTTCCCTTCTGCCTCTCTCTTACCTTTACTGAGGGTAGAAGAGCCTTTTCCCACAGATTGCATTTGGCATTCTCTCTCCATCTTTGTGCAAATATGTGTAAAACTATTTCATCTTTTGCTAACGAGCTGGCACTGAACCAGTTCCTCAAAATAATTTTGCTGTTCTAATGATCTTTCACATAATAATAATGTGTACTCTTGTATTAGTTCTGTGTTTCTATGTGAATCACACACCTCCTATTACTGCCTTTTCACGTGGCCTGAACAGCAACCTTGCCCTTGCTGAGGCAGCCACTTGAGCAGTTCTCATGAGCTATAGCTCATGGCATTGCCTGCCCTATGTAGAGAACTAAAAATGACCCTGCATGCAAATACTAATTGCTGGGCCTTGTTTTCACTGTTCAGATCCTGACTAGAATCCCTTGCAGGCGTAAGAAAGTGATTTTTGCATTGCAAGCTTTCATCTGCACCCTAGGATTATAGTTATAGTTCATCTCTGCAAATGAAAGCGAGGAGGAGGGAAATGATTCAGAAGAGCAGGCTCTTATAAAAAACATTTTTTTATGTTACAAATGTTAAAGGGAGAAGTTGCTGCAGTTGCTTGCATTGGTTCAAGCACAGGGAGGGGGAGAGAGGGGACTCTCAAGCTCACTGCACTCAGTCCCTGTCTGCACAGCATCACGCCCCTGTATCCTTTGAGACCCACAAGGATGCTGTCACATCCCCCTGTCCTATCCCCAGCCCAGCACCACTCCTGCAGAGGGATGTCCCTGCACCAGGACACCTCCCTGCTCCACACCCACACAGCCAAGCCCCTCTGAGTACTTGCATTGGGTCAAGGTCCAAAAAAAGGGGAGTTACTGAGACTGTTCCCTTCTGCAGATCCTGGCATTCCCACTGCTGCAGAGCAAGGACACATAGCCAGGAGGTCATAGGAGAGGAGACAGGATGTTTACATGTGCACCCAGTGCCAAGCAAGCCTGAGCTGGTTGCTCTGGTTTAACTGCCCTGACACAATGACCTCTTTGCCCAGGTAATGCCTCCAGCCACCTGTTCCACACACACTCTCTCCACGGGCAGCCCATGGAATGTGGTTGTGCTCCTTTTCACAGTCTGTCCATGGGTTTTAGTAACCTAACATATTAACCTCCTATATTATTTGTAATAAAGAAGAAAACAACACTTCTGGCTAATCACTGGTACCAGTTCTGACCACACACATCCTGTTTGCCAGCCTTTCCCTTTAGCTGCTGATGCTTTTTGGTTGCCCACCATTCAGGATGAGTGCCAAGTACCAGAGGACCAGCTCCCAATGAGCTCCTCTTAGTCTGCTGAGTGCTGGTCACGCTGATCAGATCGTGGAGCAGAAATTAAACCTTTTGAATTAATTTTATTAATATATATAATAAAATCTTGGAGCATTAGGGGTGTTATAATCATCAGTCATCCAAAATTTGCAGCCTGAAAAGAATGTGAGAAGTTTTGCCTTTTTCTGTGTTACCAAAAACCTACAAAGCAAGTATTTCTTGTTGGGCTATTTACAGAATACCGTGGGCTGCTTCGTAGGAGATCTCAAGCCAACTCTCTTGATATTTTTCATGTATTGGCTGAGACAAAAACAATATACAGAAGCCCATGCTTAGATTAATTTACTACTACTTTTTTAAACACAAATTAGCAGTTTGTTATTTCTGCATCATAGGCTGTAGAGAGCTGGCCTCTATAACCGTGTGACAGATGAGTTAGTTACCTTTCCTGTGAAGAAGTTTCCCAAACTCAAATTATCATCATTACAGTGAAATAAACTGCATAGTGAACCTGGGAGCTTTTCTGCCCCCCTCAGGGGAGGAAGGTGAAGGTTGCAATTATCCACACCACACAAAACCAGGAAATAAAGTGGGAGATCAAGCACAGTATCTAGTCAAAGAAGTTTCTACTGCCCAAAACTGAAGGAAATAGTACTCTAGGTCTTGCTCTTTCCCACATGATATTCTCAGAGCCTCAGGGAAGATGAGATGCCAGGCTGGAAGCAAAAAAGGAAGAAAAGGGAATGTGAAAGGTTAGTCCCAGTGAGACCTGATGATGCTGCTGCTGCTTTGTAGAAAGACAAAGCTTAGCTGCTAATGGCTACAGATGGGACTTCTGCCTCAAGAAAAACTTATTTTCCTCCAAAATGAAATCAGGGTTCCCAGAATAAATAGGATGACAAAGCCCATGATTTCCCACTTTTCTTGTTGATGTATTAATGTGAAACAAAGACCACACATTGTGAGGGAAAATAGCTCTTTCTTTGTTCCATGGAGAAATGCAGTAACCTTCCATAGATAAACAATTGAGCAAAAGTCTGTGAAGGGGTGGGGGGGATGGGGGGAAAGGGGAGGGGAGTTTATTTACAGATAAAAGGCATTTTCTCATAAACAAGAAGGATTCAGCTCTAACTCAAGGACCTCAGTAACCAGTTCAGAAGATGTTTCTTAACAGCAGCCATTCAAACACAGTTTTCTGTGTATCTCAGAGTCTGTATTTATTAAATACTGCTTGTTCACACACATGAGGCAAGGATTCATCCCAAGCATCCTCTGCTTTTCATATGATGCCTGTGAACTTGATGGGATTTTAGCAGGATAATGCAAACCTGGTGTGAGGCTCAGTGTGGTAATAGAATCATCAATTCATAGAATTATTTAGGTTGGAAAGGACCTTAAAGCTCCCAGCCTCCCTGCCATGGGCATGGACACCTTCCACTGCCCCAGGTTGTTCCAAGGCCCATCCAGCCTGGCCTTGAACACTTCCAGGGATGGGGCAGCCACCTCTTCTCTGGACAGCCAGTGCCAGGGCCTCACCACCCTCACAGGAAGCAGTTTTCTTCTAACAGCTAATCTAAATCTACCCTCTGCTGCACTTCAGCATTAGGTGGCAGGGAAATATGGGGTCTCTTTCTGTACAGGAATGAACCTACAGCTCCTTTTGACGTCCAGCTTAGAAAGATAGCATTTCTGTACAAATGCCTTATAAGCTACATATATTGTCAACTTAAATGAAAGTTTAATAAAATGCTTGGTGGTGTTGATGCTAAAAGAGCAGCTGTAGACCATTTCTAGCAAGCCCCAGTTCATACAGTGAAAAATGTATAGTTATCCAAAAGCTGCTTCCTCTGGTCTGTGTTGAAAACCCTGAAGGAAATCTGTTTATCTGCACCACCTGGATTTAAAAATTAAAGATTTTATTCAGCCCTAAAAAGATGGAGCCATCCTCAACAGGCCTTGGTCTTGTTTCTGTATTTCTGTGTCTCCCTACAAAGTCAAAGGGGCTGTGTGATAACATTTATTTCTCTCTACTTTCATTACCTATACCTGTGCTCACAATGTGAAGTGAAGCACCCCCTGCTGATCTCCCCAGCCATCAGAACTGTGCTGCTGCAATGCCACCACCCACGCAGAGAAGGACACTTCCCCTGCCCTCCCCAGGACACAGAGATTCCAGGGACACATTTGTGCCTCTCCAGCCCTTTGTGCTCTCTGCTCCAGGTCTTCATCTGTAAAAACCCCACAGGTCATCTTAAATTCACTGTGGTTTTAGCAGGTACAAATACTCCATGAAATTTAAAGTCCTTGCAGGAGCATCCAACGCTATAATATAAATTTAATTACAGAGCTATTAGGAATAATTTGCATAACAATTAGCAATTAAACGAGTCACCAAATCCAAGTCGCTTCTCTTGAAGCAGCTTTTATGCAACTGAACCTTGGGAAAACAGCAGGGTTTCTCTTGATTTGGCATTAGAAACAGTGTGCTTTTTGAAATAACAAGGCGATTAAAAATAGCTGTAGGTGTTTATGCAGTGCTCTGCTGTCACAGAGATCTGCCCCACGCTGGTGGCAGCGCTGCTGGACAGAGG